GTTGTTCCATTGGTTAATTGTTCTAACTGTCAGGAAGTCTCTCCTTAGTTCTAAGTTGCTTCTCTCCTTGATCAGTTTCCATCCGTTGCTTCTCGTCCTGCCTTCAGGCACCTTGGAGAATAGCTTGACTCCCTCTTCTTTGTGGCAGCCCCTGAGATATTGGAACACTGCTATCATGTCCCCCCTCGTCCTTCTTTTCATTAAACTAGACATACCCAATTCCAGCTACCATTCCTTATATGTTTTAGCCTCCAGTCCCCTAATCATCTTTGTTGCTCTTCTCTGTACTCTTTCTAGAGTCTCAACATCTTTTTTACATCGTGGTGAGCAAAACTGGATGCAGTATTCCAAGTGTGGCCTTACCAAGGCTTTGTAAAGTGGTATTAATACTTTTCGTGATCTTGATTCTATCCCTCTTTTAAAGCAGCCCAGCACTGTGTTGGCTTTTTTGGCAGCTGCAGCACACTGCTGGCTCATATTTAAGTGATTGTCCACTAGGACTCCAAGATCCCTCTCACAGTTACTACTATTGAGCAAGGTACCCCCTATACTATACCTTTACATTTGGTTTTTCTTGCCTAAATGTAGAACCTTACTTTTTTCACCACTGAATTTCATTTTGTTAGATGGCGCCCAGTGTTCAAGTCTGTCCAGGTCCTCCTGTATCCTAAGCCTGTCTTCTGGAGTGTTGGCTATTCCTGCCAGCTTGGTGTCATCTGCAAATTTGATGAGTTCCCTGTCTATCCCCTCATCCAAATCATTGATGAAGATGTTGAAGAGCACTGGGCCTAGAACAGAGCCCTGGGGCACCCCACTACACAATTCCCTCCATGTAGATGCAGTTCCATTGAGGACCACATGCTGAGTATGGCCGGTCAGCCAGTTTCAAGCACGCAAAACCGGAAATCCAGGTCAGAGCTTTTTCAGCTTTTAAGCCCAGTTGTTCAAATGCTGCCATTTAACAGACCATTACTTTGCAAAACCAAAGGATCAGAAAACAAGTGACGAATTTATACGATTTTATTGCTGTGGATACCTGAGAATTTACATGAAAACATGATTCTCAAAAGATTCTATTTAGTGATTGGGAAGTGGGGGTTAATCTGGGATCATTTTTAGGCAACAGTGGGACCCGGGTATATGGATATGTTTGTGGGATGACTGCATGACTCCATATGAGCGTATTGTAAATGCCACAGAAGTACCAATAGAAGAGAATATTTTAGCACTGATGATGTTACCTAGCTGGGTAATGAAACGTCTTGAAAAAGACAAGCTCAGAGAGCATCAAGGACCCCACTGTCCCAGAAGTGGACAGAAATGGAAAGATATTCAGAGGTTAAAATATTTGGAATGGTCCATTTTAGAGTCAGAAAATTTTGCACCTCACCCTAAAACAGGCCTCTGTTTTACTGAGATTGTTTTATACTGAAATTAAATGGGACATGATCCCTGCAGCACTATTTTGAGCATTTCTTACTCCAAAGGAAGTCCTATTTGAGTCTAAAAAAAGCTTACTGCCTGGGAATATATTCCAATGTAGTTGGATATGGTTAGGGATATAGAAGAGATGTACTAATATGTTACATTTTCTCCTCTTGACTTTTTCAAAAGTTTTCACAGGGGGCAGGTTACATCTGTATTTCCTGCAATAATGCCCTTGATCCAGTCAAGATGATCGAAGACATTGGTGTAGACGCCAGGCTCACGAGGTTGGGCACAAGGATCGCCTCCCCAAGATACAATACCCTGGAATTGTCCATTACAGATGAGGGGTCCCCCAGAGTCACCCTGTTGAGAAAAATCAAACATGAAACTTTACTACCGTATCTATGAATGGAAAGTGGAGCAAACAATTCCCTCCCATCGTCCATTCACATATAGCCCCCAAATGTTTCACTTCGATGTTCCCCAATCCAGGATCCTTGTAGAAGAATTTAACTCCTTGTATTTCCCCCACCAGAATCACCAATATTGGGAAGTCTGGAAATCTAGACACCTAGAAGGCACTTGAGTTAGAAAGAGTCGTAACTTTGTATGTTTCTACAAGATGCCTTCAAGGCTAGATCTCTGTCATAGCTTTGAAAATTGGCATCGTTTCTTTAGGAGTCTGTCTTAAAACGGATCATCTTACCACACATGAATCTTTGCCTCCTTCCAGGATACCTGCGCACAATGTTCTGCTTGTTGCTGGCAACCCTGCGTAAGCTGCTCGACATACCTCATAATCGAGTAGGTTAATGTTAGCACAATGAGGGACATCGGGATAAGTCTCTGGAAAAAAATAAAACATAGGCAAAATTCTACCTTTCACAATTTACTACCTAGATGCATAGAGCTATAATTTCCATTGTCTCCAACCAACGGAGCTGATCTCATTGCCTGGGAATAAGAAGTATTGTTTTTCAAAGACGTTCAAAGGGACTCCTGGGAAAAAAAGAGTTAGTTAAATGTTTTTTCTCAAGATATCAATAGGTCTTAAATCAGCTGATGGGCATTTGAAGGCTTCTCAAATTTCTCCGGCACTCTACGCAAAGATTCCCTTGTTGGAAAAGTGGGGCTTTTGCTAGTTCAAAAGTCACAGAACTGATCTCGCATCCCGTGGAGATGACCTAGAACGGGGGTTTCCAAACTTGGCAACTTTAAGACTTGTGAACTTCCACTCCCAAAATTCCTCAGCCTGCATATCGAAACTTCCATATCTGAAGATGAAGCAGACCCATAAGTTTGTATTGTGTACAAGAACAAAAAAATCAGGAATCTTGTCCAAAAGATCCCTTGCGGAGGACAGATGAGATGGAAATAAGTGTAAGGAAAAAAAGGCAAAATGTCATTTGAATCAAACAAAGTTGAGCCTGAGAATATGGAATAAACCCCAATCCCAGCTAATCAACAAATCAAGACATTTTCAGTATAAAAAGGGATCCTAAAGCTCACCCACTCCTTGAGTCATCTTTGGATCCACAACTTAGGAGTTTCTGTCCCTCTAGCTGGTGCCTGGCAGCCTAATTGATAAGGATGTGTCTAAACATGGATGGGTGCATGTGTGCATATGAGAAAGAGCAAATTTATATCGCAAGCAGTAAAGTTTTGCTGTTACTTTAAATTCACTGGGTCTCCGTGTATTCCCAAAAACTTGTGGTGCCTCAGTGGTTAGTTGAAAATTTTTTGTGTGAGTCCTTAATTATTTCCCAGCTCTTGACCAAGGCTGTGTGACTTGTCTGCTCTAGCTATACCTATTTGGTAGAAACCTACGTAGAAAACACGGTAGGCTTACAAGATCTACCTACCTTGGCAGGCTTGAATGTGTGGATGACCATAAGTCAAAGCTTAGAGTGCATGTAACACTTCCATGGCCTTACTAGCAATAGCAATAGCACTTAGACCTATATACTGCACTCTCTGGGTGATTTACAATATCAGCAAATTGCCCCCAACAATCTGAGTCCTCCTTTTATCAACCTCAAAAGGATGGAAGGCTGAGTCAACCTTGAGCTCTGTCAGGATCGAATTCCAGGCTGGGAGCAGAGATAGCCAGCAATACTGCATTCTAACCACTGCACCACCAGGACTTAAAAGGAAGAAGTCCTCTGCAACCATCCACAGAGATTTTATATCCATCCAAGGATAGACCATGTTTTTGAGTTCATATTTGGTATTTTGAGAGCAAGGGGTAAATATACTCTGAAAACATCCTCCGCGGGACACTTCTTCATTTCCAAAACGGCCATGGCCATTCACAAAACACCCCATTATTAAAGGTAATGAAGCCAGGCAAGACTGCCATGCTAATGGGACTTTTCTGATTCCCAACAGCACTGCTATAAGTAAACCTGATCCTATAGGGTTTTTTTTTAGCTACACAGCATGCCACTTCCTTACTTATTTATTTTATTCCAAGGACCTTGTGGGTGTGGAACTGATGAAGAAATGGAATCTTAGGGAATCCCATTGTCCATCCACATTCCAATATTCATGGGTGACATAGTGGGACCCTAGACCTAGTTGATGTTACATCAAAAGCTGGGTCTGAGAGTATAGACAGAGATCCCTACCTTGAGGAGATGTGATTGTGCCCCATCCCATAACACGGCAAACTGAGCCCACACTGGGAGGGCTGGAAGGCAAGCTGAGAGGCGCGATGTGTGCACTCTTCCTGACAGGTCTGTCCAGCCTGATCAACATGATGTCCTTGTTCCATTTGGTGTAGGTTTTGCTACTGTCACAAAAGAACTTCTCCTTTGGGACTCTTCTCTGCACATCCTTATTTGGTACCTTTTTGCTATGCACACCAAGGTATATCTCCATATCTTTCCTACAAGAAAAACAACAAGAAGTTAACAACAACAACTTAAAGTAAACTATATTACTTGTGTTGGTCCTTGACCTCATTTTGGCCCTCAAGCAGGATTGTTAGAGCCAGACATGAAAGGGCCATAACCTTCCTTCTCCAATGGTGTTTGTGGGAAAAACCTGCCAGAAACCTGGAAGAGTTACAGTCAATGTCCTAGAGATCTGGGTTCACTCAAGAAATTTATTCAAGGTGATTGAATAAGCTATTTCCATTGTTTATACAAAATCTTGAAGCATGAATTCACCTGTGTGCTGTTTAGCACACAGAAAGCTTGGCATATACTATGAATCCATCTCTTTCTTGACTGGGATGTGTATTGTGTAAATGTTGCAGTTATAAATTATAAATGACTGTGTTAAAGATAGAACCCATGTGGTTACAGTACTAATGTTATGACTTTGTATTGCGCACATCCTCTCTCAACCCAGCCTATCTCAAAGGATGGTTGAATAGATAAAGACGAACACAAAATCTGAATGGTGCCCACTCTGCTCTTGTTTAGAAGAGGTATTAAGGTGTAGTGCCTCACCCAGGCCTTTGATAAGGGAGAGAGAAGCCTCTCACTTCATCATCTTTTCATCTTTTATGTTTTACTGATTTTTTTAAAAAAATATTTTTTATGGCAAACCCCCAGAGTGAGGCAGCATATGGTTACTATTTTCTGGTTAGTTGCGCAGTCAGTCAGATATTTAGACTGGATTTGGCATTTTTATCCACCTATCAAGTCCTTCCCAAGGACCTGGGGTAGATAAATTCTGTGGTTCCATGGTATTAAAGGGATTGCCACAAGATGTTCCAATTAAGGCTGCCTTTTGCAATTGACTGTGGTGATTTTGTCAATGCTGGTGGTATTCAGGTAATGTTCCAGATTTTGTTATTCTTGTTATTATTATATCCCAGAAAAAAGGAAAGATATGAATACTGTGGTGAAGAACATGGAAATTCAATCATATATTTAAACAGCATTGCTCAAGATATGATTGTGAGGAGCAATAGCAGTAGCAGCAGAACACTCATTCAAAATGCACAGAGAAGTCACTAAAAACTAGCAGAAACATTATAAAAAAATCTGGATATCTAAACACGATCTCCCTCAACCCTTCCACATTCTGTAATGTCCTCACCCATTGCAGTGTGCAGCAGTGAGCACCCATTCCTCATTGAGCAAAGTCCCACCGCATTGATAATCATCATAGTACACGAGTACAAGGAAAGGATGTTCATTTATGTTACATTCATCACCTCCAATGACCAGTTCAGAAGACTTTTGTGCTGCAAAGAAACCAAAAAAGTTCAGTGTTTGACTGTGGAGTAGAACAGAATCGCTTTTATTGGTAGTGTTTCCATCAATACACTAATTATGGAGGGTAACAGATGACTGTGGGACACACATCATCAAACCAGTTGAATAAAATGGATTATTTGCAAATCATATATATGCCTATGCCCATGTAGGTAAACTACCTGTGAATCTTAAGTGATTAATTTGTGTGTGTGTGTGTGTGTGTGTGTGTACACACATATACTTTTGAGAAAGAGCATCAGAATTTCATTTTTAACATGTGCCAGTGTGTTCATAGAAAATGACAATAAAGGTTATTCTATCTTATCTTAAGATAAGAAGTCAGTTAGAGATCTTCTTGTTTAATATAACAACATAAGAAAATTTAATTCCCATTTCTTCAAACATGGTTTTAGGAAAGCAAAAATTCATTAAATATTACACAGCTATCTCACCGTGCTCTGAAATAAGATATGACCAGGGTCTTCTTAACACTTAACACTTTAGTGAAGCAGGCTTTGCTTTGTTAGTGGTGATAAGATTTGGGCATGGAAAGATTTCCAAAACAGGAGAGTTGACTTATTCAATAGGGAAGTGAAACAGACACTTTTATCACCCCCTGAATTCTCACTCCAGGATCGTAGTTATTTAAAGCAGGGTCTTGCTGCTGGAACTATAGAAGCTCCTAAGACAGTGGTGGCAAACCTATGGCACGGGTGCCAGAGGCGGCACTCAGAGTCCTCTCTGTGGGCACATGTACCATGCCCCGGAGATGGCAACTGTCCCTCTTCAACCAGCCGCCTGCTAACTCGCCAAAGTCCCATGTGGCTGGATGCATCCCGGCACAGCTGGTTTCCCTCCCCCCCGTCCCATCCCTCCTGGCCTCACATGCTCTCCTTTTCCTGGGCATGACCCACTGCATCACCTCCTTAGCTGTCGGCCGGCTATCCAGCTCAGAGGCGGCTTCTTTGAACTGCTGACGGCGGGCTGCAGAGCCCCAGAGTGCACCAGTTGAGGGGCCAGCTGGCTGTGGCTGCTAACGGATGACAGCGGTCCCCATGTGTTCACTGGCCTCTTTGTACAGGGGCCAATGGTGTCAGTCAGCTGCCCCAGCCCTTGCCTTGCCCCATGTCAATAGCACCCCCACCCTGCCTCACCACACCCCTCAGAACGAGCTTCCTGCCTATCGTCCCATCTATCCCAACCCTGCCCACCCCCACAGGCATCCCTCCCCACGAGCAACATTGAGATGATCACGCCCACCTTGGCCACACCCAGTGTGCCATGACCACCACAGCCACGCCCATCCAGTGGGCCACACCCACCTTGCACCCGGTGATAAATCATGGGCTTTGGGTTGCAGTTTGGGCACTCGGTCTCTAAAAGGTTCGTCATCACTGTCCTAAGAGCATCTTATAAACCACAATATAAATGAGCTGATTGTACTTTCAATCAATTAAACCAGTGTTTCTCAACCTTGGCAACTTGAAGATGTATGGATTTCAATTCCCACAAGTCCCCGGCCAGCATGGCGAATTCTGGGAATTGAACTCCATACATCTTCAAGCTGCAAGACAAAGGCCATTATGTGAAAGCTTGTACAAGCAAAGCTGGAGACAGATGTTTAGTACTTTCCACTCAGTCTCCCTGCACAGTAAGGAACTAGTTATTAATACAGGTAGTTCTTGACTTACAACAATTCATTTAGTGACCATTCAAATTTACAATGGCACTGAAGAAAGTTACTGAGCAGCGGAGAAGTGAAGCAAAATATGCCACAGCTTCTCAAAAGACCAGATGCCTTAGATCTCAGCCATCAGAAAGGCTCATGCTATTCAGTTTTTCACATGACCATTGCAGCATTCCCACAGTGATGTGAAAAAAGTTCAGATACTTAGCATGTGACTCATATTTATGACAGTTGCAGTGTCCCTGGGTTGTGTGATCACTTCTGACAAGTGAAGTCAATGAAGAAGCCAGATTCATTTAACAACAGTGTTACTAACTTAACAATAGTAGTGAGTGACTTAACCACTGTAGCAAGAAAGGTCGTAAAATGGGACAAAACTCACTAAACAGATTTTTCACTTAAGCAACAAAAATTTTGAGACTTCTTGTCCCTTGAAAGATTTAGCCAGAAAGATCAAAGACCTCTAGAAGCAAAATTTCAAGACAAGACAAATACTTTCCAAGAAGAAATGTATGCAATGCTACGACAGATACAAATCACAATAGCTCTAAACCATGAGGAGATTAAACATAACTTTGACAACATAAATGAATACACTTCTAACTTAAATTTACAATCAAAACACATTCAAAGAATGATGGTAAAGAATGAACAAACAAATCAAATAACAGAATGTGAACTAGAAAAAAATGACTTACCGGTAATTGGCAAAGTCACAAATGGAATTATAACTTAATACAAATAAGAAAAAACACACAATATGGAAATATGGAATAAATAAATATGGAAAAGATACCTTATGCATTAGAACGTCAAAATAAACCTGAGAAGAAAGAAGACTTAACAAAATGGACACTGTTAGGAGAATCACAGTTTGGGAGACAAAAAGTATACATCTTGTGTATTATGTATCCTCTACGCCTAACAACAACTACAAAAATACAAGAAATATTTGACAAGTCGAAAATATTAATCTGGAAAGCAATTTGGCAAAGGAAGAAGATTAGAGATGGGCTCAAGAGACTTGACTCGCCCTACCAGATGGAATATTATACGAGCAAACACTTGTTTGAATATGGCTAAATAAATAAATAACTTTGGCTATAAAGGGGCTTTAGAATAAGTGGGATAAGAGATATAAGTAATATAGTAATTTTTGATAAGATACAAAATGTAAAAATATTGGGATGATGAAAGTGAAAGAAAAGTTTGAACTTTAAAGACAAATTAAGTTTGAAAAGATTTAGGATTAAGGAATGATTGAAATACTGAGGGAAATTAGGCTTAATAAGAATATTGAAAAAAGGATATATAATGATTCAATCATTTTTTATGAATAGAAGTGAAATATAAATTGATTAGAAAAGATGTTATAGGTAGATGTGATGATAGATAAGAAGTATAGTATTTCTATAATATATGTAATATGAAAATACTGGGATGATATATTTAAGTGGAAAATTTGGATATTTAGATGTTAATTATTGAGAAAATTATGATTGATAAGAATTGTTTGAATATTATGGAGAAATTGAGCTTAAACAAGATTTATGAAAATAAGATATATGGTGAATCAATAAGATGACTTTTATGAAAAGAATTCTATATATGGACGCTATTATTGTTGGTATAAATATAGAAGACTGCTCAGTAACTTAATGGTATCACTGCCAGTCAGATTACGCTAATCAGTTAAAGTCAGAAGAATAGTTCAGATGAGCTTCTAAAAAGGATGGACATTTAGAAGCATTTGGTCCAGAGTCTGATCTTGCTGTACTGCATTGCTAAGCAAAATATATGGCCTCATGATGTGGAGAATAGGGAAGAGAAGGAGTGAAACTGGGGAAGAGATTGATAAAAATGGAATTCAATCTATGGGAAGTTGATAAGATTAGTATTTAGTTCACTAAAAACAGTTTGAGCCCACATTGATAGCAGTAAAATCCCTAAATACCGGTTTTGAGATTTGTTTCAGAAGCAATGACCCAGATATTGCACGCTCTATAATGCAGCAGATCTAACAGAATGGGAGCTAGGTTAAATCCAACAGATTTATTTTACCAGTTTGGACAAAAATCAATGGCCATCTCATATACCATTTTTTAAAGACCACCTTAGCACTGAAAACCCCTCCCCAACTTTTTTCTCATTGCATCTTATATTAATTAATAAGTTATCTTCCTCTATTGAAGTCAGTTGCCAAATAAATAGAAACACGAAAGGAAGCTGACCATATTTGGGATTATATATTTTTAACTGGCTAGTTTTGCTGCTATGAATAAATGTATCAATTCATACTATCATTACAAATACAGCAATGGTCTTCCCCATTTGCACCAACCGGGCCTTCTTCATCCACTCTCTACTTGTGACCTGCTTGTACATCTACAGTTAATAATTACATGCAAGTTTATTCCTGTACCTGGAGGTTTAAACCGAAAAAGACACCTAAAGCTCCGTCCACCCCTTGCTCCATTGTCCAGGCTCTTACCGTAAGAAAGCTGTAGTATCAGAAGGTTTGCTAGCACTCTGATCAGCACCATAGCTTCAACTCTGTGTGGCAAGCTGTTTGCCTGGAATTTAGAGATGGGGAACAATTTTGGCAAGAATGCACAGTTCAAAATATTTCATTAATCACTTTGTTCTCTTCCACTCCGAGGCCGAAGTACAGATGTGGAAAAAAAGCCACTTTCTCACCTGTAAGATCGCAGTCCCGAACTTAAACTTGAGATACCGTATCAATCTAATCAGATAACCCAAGCGGAGACTTCTTGATCAAGCAGCACTTTATTTGATCAAATTAAGCAGCTGGGTGGCCAACAATCTGGAACGCTGACACAGTTACATCCAGAAGTGTCACGTCTTAGAAAGTTGGTAGCATTGCTTTATACACTTTGTTAGCCAATGAAAATCAGACAACAGAGCCATTGCATCATAAGAAAGACATCAATCATTCCTGTACAGTCCCTTATTCCCTCCTTCAGTATATCCCATCCATGTACCCGTTTCCCAAGCTTGCATGAAATTTTTCTGGTGCAAAAGCTGATTCCAAAAAGCAAGAAAGCAACAGTTAGACTAAACAATTTCCCTTTGTTCCAGAACCCTTCACATCC